GGACTGTCTATGCCCCCGACCGGGTTCCTCTCAGCATCTGTATAGACTCTGCCCTCTCACTTATCCATTCAGGGACTGTCTTTGCTCCTGACACAGCACATCCCTCCATTTGTACTCTCCTTTTGCCAAGTCAGACACAACTCCAACCGTTATCCTCTCTTTCCTCTGCTGAGTACCTTTCTCATCAACATACAAAATATGCTATAATTCCCAACTTTAAAAAAGAAATCTCAATCCCCACATTCCTTTCAATTAACAACCCTCTACACCCTTAAAGCAAAACTCCACTAAAGAATTTTCTATTCATGCTGTCTTCAGTTTCTCTCCTTCCATTCTTTCTTAAACCCACAGTAGTCCGGCTTTGCCCAAGCATTCCACTAAGAAGCCCCCATACTCCCCGCCCGCCACAGCACAAACCCAGCAGCATCCATCACAGTTGCTCGCCTTTTCTCCTCCTTATAGATGCTTCTTCACTTGCCTTCCAGGACACCATGTTCCCCTTGAATTGATTCCTCCCTCAACAGCCTCTTGCTCTGGGCCCCAAGCATGTAGAACGCCAAAGGCTCAGCCTTAGATAGATTCTCCTTTCAGTCTGCATTGATTTCCTACGAACTGACCCAGCTCATGCTTTAAAAACCATCTGGACACTGCAGGCTACAAAATCACATCTAGCACCAGCCCTATCAGGTGAAGTCCAGACTCATACTCCTACTCAGATACATAGTGTCTAACTGAACACTGTCAAAAACCTCATGATTTCTTTAATCATTGTCTTGTAGTTTTCACTGTAGAACTCTTTCACCTCCTTGGTTAAATTTATTCTGAAGTATTTTATTATTTTTGATGCTACTGTATATGGGATCATCATTTTTATTTCTTTTCCAGATAATTCATTGCTAGTGTACATATGGATCTGATAACTGATTTTAGTATGTTAACTTTGTATCCTGTACCTTACTTCATTTGTTGATTAGGTTTAACAGTTTTTTTTGGAGTCTTTAGGATTTTCTCTATACAAAATTGTGATGAAAGAGATTGAAGCAAGCACAAATAAATAGAAAGATAGTTTGTGTTCATGGACTGCAAGAAACATCAATATTAATGTTAAAATGTCCACACTACCCAAAGTAATCTACAAATTCAATGCAATTGGTATCAAGATTTCAATAGCATTCTTCACAGAAATAGAAAAAAAAATCCTAAAATTTGTATGGAATCACAAAAGACCCTGAATAGCCAAAGCAATCCTGAGAAAGAAAAACAAAGTGGGAGGCACCACACATCCTTATTTCAGGCTATACTGTAAAGCTATAGTAATCAAAACAGTATGGTTCTGGCATAAAAACAGACAAATAGACCAATATAGAGAGCTGAGAAATCAACCCCCACATATAAGCTCAATTAATATTTGACAAGGGAGTCAAGAATATCCAATGGAGAAACGACAGTGTCTCCAATAAATGGTGATGGAAAAATTGGAAAGTCATACATAAAAGAATGTAATTAAGACTTCTATCTTACGAAAGTCACAAAAATGGATTCAAACTGAAATCTAAGACCTGAAACCATAAAACTCCCTGAAGAAAACAGGAAAAAATTTCTTGACATGGGTCTTGGCAATGATTTTTTGGCTACGACACCTAAAGCACAAGTAACAAAATAAAAAATAAGTGGAGCTACATCAAACTCTTCTGCAAAGCAAAGAAAATCAACAATGAAATAAAAAGGGAAACTCTTGAATGGGAAAAAATATTTGCAAATCATATATCAGATAAGAGGTTACTATCCAAAATACATAAAGAACTCACACAACTCAGTAGCAAAAAAACAAATAATCCAATTAAAAAATGGGCAAAGGACCTGAATAGATATTTTTCTAAAGAAGATAATTCAAATGGCCAACAGGTACAAGAAAAGATGCTTAATATCACTAATCATCTGGGAAATGCAAATCAAAACCATAATGAGATATCACCTCAAGTCTGTTAGAATGATTATCATCGAAAAGGCAAGAGAGAACAAATACTTGGAAAGATGTGGAGAAAAGGAAACTCTTGTGCACTACTGGTGGAATTATAAATTGGTACAGCCACTATGGAAAACAGTACGGAGTTTCCTCAAAAAATATAAAAAATTAAAAATGGTCCAGCAATTCCACCGCTGGGTATTTATCCAAAGGAAACAAAATAACTATGTCAAAGAGATATCTGCAACCCCAAGTTCACAGCAGCATTATTCACAATAGCCAAGACATGGAAACTTCAGTGTCCATCAACAGATGAATGGATAAAGAAGATGTGGTATATATATATATAGAACGGAATACTGTTCAGCCATAAAAAAGAAGGAAATCTTGCCATATGTGACAACTGGATAGTCCTTGAGGGCATTACGCTAAGTGAAATAAGTGAGACAGAGAAAGACAAATATGTATAATATCATGTACATATGGAATCTAAAAAACAAACAAAAAACTCCCCAAAAAGCCAAACTCATAGATAAAGAGATCAGATTTGTAGTTAAAAGAGGTGGGTGTGGGGCAGTGTGGGAACTGGATGAAGATGGTCAAAAGGTACAAAATTCCAGTTATAAGATAAATAAATACTGAGGCCATAATGTACAACGTGATGACTATTGTTAACATTGCTGTACGGTATACATGAAACTTGGTAAGAGAGATCTTAAAAATTCTTATCACAAGAAAAAAAACTATTTTTCTTTTTTTTGTATCTATATGAGGTGACGATGTTAAGTAAACTTATGGTGGTAATTATTTTGCAATATATATGTCAAGTCATTATGCTGTATACCTTAAACTTAGACAATGCTGCATGTCAATTATATTTTTATAAAACTGAAAGACAAAGAGAACACAATACATATAAAAGGAGATTATTACTATTAAGGATGCAGAACAACTTTCTACTTTTAAAAAGCATGGGGGGGGGGGCTTGATACAGTATCACTGACTGACATAACTGAACACACAAAATATAAACTTTCACACATCCCCCCTAAATACATCATACACACATAAACAAATTCAGTGCCAAACAGCAAAGTTGCTGGAAAAAACTACAATTTCTGTTTGAAAGTATAGAACCAACACAATAATAAAAACTCAGACCCCAGTATATAAACTGTGCAAAGAACTTGTACAGTTAATTCACAATAGAGAAAATAAAAGGCTAACAACTCCAGCTCCCCCCTCCAAAAAGCCTCATGATTTTTCCACCAAGGAAAACAAAACAAAACCATCAGATCCCTGCATCATTCTCCTGCTTCATCTCAGGAAATGCCAGTTCCATACTTCCAATGCTCAATAAGCCACCTTCTCAGAGGCTTTCCTGATCCCTGTTTAAAATTGAAATGCCCTCTCCCATCTCTGGGCCATCCTCTATCCCATTTTTTTCTGCTTTTCTTCCATAAAGTTTATCTCCTTTTGATATTGTTTCTATTTTACTTGGCTCCTTGTCAGCCTTCCCCCCAACACAGGCAGGGCTTTACTCAAGCCTTTATTCACTGCTGTGTCTTCAGGACATCAAACACTCCTCAGCACATAGCAGGCCCTCAGAGGGGACATGACCTTCTGTAATTGCATGGCATCAACTTCAACAACAAGGACAATTGAATCTCTTTAAATTGGCTTCCTTTCCTGTCCTCTCCAGAGACTATTACAGACTACCACCATTCTCTTTTGAGGCTACAACTTCTTCACTCTGGGCATAAGGCCTTCTGTCTTATTTTATATAAATATATGGGGAAAAGGCATGAATTGCCTCACCATGCCATGTCCATCCCACTAGACTCCGTTATATCCTTATACTCTTCCCTCCACTCCTGCGCTCAAGACAGGCCTCTCCTCCCAACCCTCCCTCCCCCACTTTCCTGGAGATGACAGAGCAATTATCCCTAACCACCCTGTCTCCACCAAGTCCTTCCATTATTCTCTAAATCTGTCTCATCTTTTCTCTGAAATATCTTTAGATACTAGATCCCTTTCAAGCCACTAGCAGCTAAGCTCTCCACCCCACTTCCTGCCTCAAATCCCAGCTCCCAGCACACGAGTCATAGCACTGTCCCCACTTCTCTTGTTGTGGGTACTCCTTGAGCTATGGTCCCCTAGCTTCCTCCTCTATTAGTCCACTAAGGCTCCCATTGAGTTTTCCTTCATGTGTATCTTACTTGTTCTCTCTTGACACAGACATACAATGAACAGATCCAAAACCTATGCTCTTCATTGCCACTTTTACTCTTTCTACTGGAATTCCTTTTTCCTTGAAACTCTCTACTAAATTTGCTTTTGTGGCAGTGCTTCCCACAAGTTCTCCTTCTCACTTTCACAGGTTTTTTTTTCATTGCTTTGTTCTCATTTAAAACACAAAGAAACCATGTATTACACAGAGTTGGGACAAATCCCCCTACATGGCACACCCCAGACCCCTTCACAAGTCTTGCTGGGCCCTCCACAGCCTGGACCTTGCAGTTGTTCACACACCCACCAGCCAGTTTCTTGTCCTTGAGTCTTTGCTCTCTCATACATCTTTGAATTTGCAAGTGTTTCCCTGGCCAATCTCTGTAATCATACTCGTAAAAGCAATCTAATGGTCTATATTTATCTCTATTTCCCTCTTTAGACTATAAGTTACTCGGAAACAGGAACAGTTACTTGTATTAATTGTCTAAGACAGCACCTGGAACATGATGCTCAATAAAATCTGATAAAACCAATCTCCATTAAGGAAAGCAGTAAGCTAGTTATGACTGAAACAGTGAAGGCTCAGCTTGGATGAACAATTCCATAAATCATCTCCAGAACTTAAGACTTTCATAATTGCTTACAGGAATTACAACTCTATTTTGTTAATTTCCTTCCCAAATAAACAAGTACATATTTTTAAATTAACATTTTAGGTATTTGGTGTTTTAAAGAAAGAGAAAAGTGAAAAACTGAAAAAAAAACCCAAAAAACAAAAGTATTTAAAAAGGCATAATTTAACCTTAAAAGCTTTTTCTTCTTTGCTGACTTTTCTGGAGTCCTAGGGAACTTTGTCTGTTTCTGGGGTGTATACAAAATGGTCTCTGTAGATTTCACCCTTGGGTTTTTCAGTCTCTCCATAACCTGTCTTCCATCTGATCCAAAATCCATGTGGTATTCACGAGAGGATTCTGAATCAATGACCAAGACATTCTCTAAGTCATCTTCTTTTTCACTATCTGACGAATACTCCAAAATATCTGTAGAACTTGCCTGAAAAATATTAAAAGAAATGGAATTAAATTTCAAATCCACATTTATTCCAGTCCATATTTAGATATGTCTATTATTCTATTCCCTTATATTCATTGAATTAACTTTGTAAATATAATATCTGTAGCTTAAACTTTATTTTGACACAAAATCCAAAGTAATCAAGCCATATACCCAAAGACATGAAGAGATTAAACCAATTGTAAGCCAGACATTATTTCACAGAATTCACCAAATGCAGTACAAATATTTCAATCTTCCTTCAGGAAACTAAAAGAAATGTGCCACGCTTATAGGCAGTCTTGAAAACTGAGTAACACCAGCCTGAATGGCTGATGATAGTCATTACAAATCTAACACCTACTGGGAAAAAAAAAGTATTTTTTAATTTTGAAATTTAATCTGAGGTAAAAAATATTCACTATTTGTTATAAACCAAATATAAAGAAACTTGCCTCTTCAAATGTAAACCACTTAATTTACCAAAGGAGTCTTTAAGGGTAAAGATGAAAATTTGACTTTTCCAACACAATTTTAACATAATATTTTCCAGAGACTAGTTTGAAATTGCTAATATCAACAGGAACTATTTTTTCCTAAAATGTTCTTTCTCCTACTCAAATTTTTGAACTACCAAAATAAGATTTTTTTGAAAATTGGATTAGAAAAGGACCAGGAATTCATACCACATAGCCAATCCTGGAGAGAAGAATGAAAACTCTCCTCTGATGTTTTCTCTCCTCCTGGAGGTGCACTCAAACTATAAGTATGGAAGGTGTTGCATTTCCCCATTACTTGGTTTTGCAGGTCAGTCCCATGTTGTTCTAATATTATAATATTCTTCAAAATTCTAATTTTCCAGTATATTAGTAGCCTCTTCTAATTTAATACTTATATTAAATTTTACATTTACTAAATGTAAATTGTATATTTAGTTGAATGGATCTTCTGTACCCAATTTATAAATTTTATATACTACATAAAATATAATATAACTATAGTATAGTTATTGGGTCCTTCATGAGAAACGCCATCTGTTTTGATGGATCAACACGGACTATGTCCCTGGCACTGAGCTGGCAATCGGCTAAAGAGAGTGAAGAGAATACAAGTGTACAAAGGTTATCGTTTGTGGGTACAGGTGGTACATGTGCCCTGGTGTGTGTGTGTGTGTGTGGAGGGTAGCACTAGAGTTTTCATCACTTGTTAATTTACACATTTATTTTTTATATTAATTATATTTATATTAATTATTTTTTATAATATATATTATATAATTTACACAGAAAGATTTATCACATTTGGCCTTTTCTGAGGACTTTATAGTAAATGCTTTTTAAGAGCTTAAAAAGGGCATCACCCATCCCCACATTTCCTCTAAAAAACTGCTTGGGTAGTCACCTGTTACTAGGCCTATTTGAAATAAGAAAAAGTAAATGAAAAAAATTCTCAAACGAAGAGCTTAGTTCCACTATCCTTTTCACAATCTCAGTTGCATGCCTAAATTACTGCAGGCAGCTGCTAACCCATTAATAAGCACTGGGTTCACATGTTTTCCCCACAAAACAGATTTTGAATAAATATTAGCAATAGGCCACAAAAAGAACCACAGCAGTTTAGACTGAAAATTAAGGTCCTTGGCACTGAAAACTTTTACACATTATTTGATAACTCCAAATTTAATTTCATCTTTTTGTTAGGAAGTGTCTTTTCTTTTACCACCCTAAAGTTTTGGACTTCACCCTAGAGCAGGGTTTCTCAACTTCAGCACTGTTGCCATTTTGGGTAGGTAATGTGGTGGGGCCTGTCCTGTGCACTCTAGGGCTGTTGAGCAGTATCCCTGGTCTCTACCCACTAGATGACAATAGCATCACCCCACCAGTCATGACTATCAAAAATGTCTCCAGATATTGCCAAATGTTCCCTGGGGGACAAAGTTACCTCCAGTTGAGAACCACTGTCCTAGAAAAATGTCAACAAATAACCAACCACATGGGGCCTATGCTGGGGACTCACATGTAGAAGTGAAGGGGACACAGCTCTTTGTGGGGATGGGGACATCAGAACAAAATAGTTATAAAACGTGTAGAAGTATTGTAACTGAAGTATTGTTCAGGCTCCACAGTCAACATGTAAGAGGAACAAAGTCAAGTGAGGTACAGGGAGAAGGGAAGACAGAAAGAGCTGCCAGCTGAATCAAGATCTGCCAGCTAAAGCTGAATGCTAAGTGAAAGTTAATTAGGCAGAGAGAGGAGAAAGTACATTTCTAGGAAAAGGAACAGGAGGACCATGATTAAGAGGCCAGAGAGAATAGAGCACATGTACGAAAATTTACAAACAGCAAAAGAGAAGGCTGTAGAAGGGTATCTGGCTTTATTCTGAGGCAGTGGGAGAGCCATTGGCAGTTTCAAAGGAGCTAACAAAACCAGATATTAATATGGAATGATCATCCTAACAACATTCTGAAAAACAGACTCTTACGTGGGAGAAGAAGGTACTCAAGCCTGCAGGTAGGGAAAGAAGCCAGATAGAAGGCTTTTCCATATCAAAGAAACACATAAAGAGGATGTGAGTGGTAGTGGGAAGAGAGAAAGGTGGACTTCAAAGAAAATGAGGAAAGACATATAACGGAGGATCTTGAGGAAATAAATATAACAGAGAATCTAGAGAAGGAAAATTCCAAAGAAAGGAGAAAGTCACTTACCAGCCATGGTGTTGGTGACCAAGTTTCAGTTTTCAGAAATAAAACCAAGTTTCAGGACTCTCAGATGTTAGAAATGAAAGTGAATGCAGAGTCAAAGAAGACCCGAGGCATCCAGTTTGGGTAACAAGTAAAGAGAAGTGCATTTATTTCTGGAAAATGGTAGTTGCTAATACTAAATTTGGTTTTGATATGTTAATGTTGTGATGCTTATGGAATAGCTGAGGTAAAACTGACCAATAGGCAGCGGCTCTATAGGTCTGGACTTTCATGAAAGTGATGTGGGATGGAGATACAACTTCAGAAATCCTAAGAACAGAAACAGTGCATGAAGGTAAGAGAGTCGGATAAGCCTGTCCGCAGAAATTATGTAAAAGTAAGAGGAGAAGGTCCAGCTTAGAACCTTGGGAATACCATCAACATTTCAAGCTTATTTTCAGGAGAGAAGAGACAGAAAAGCATTTTGGATTTGAGAAAAAAGAGACTGCACTGATAGAAGAAATCCATGGGACCTTGGAAATTGTGTGCTTTGAAGAATAAACGGTGCAAAACGGTACAGCAATTTTGGAAGACAGTTTGGCAGTTTCTTACAAAACTAAACATACTCCTACCATACAATCCAACAATCACACTCCCTGGTATTTACCTAAAGGAGGTGAAAACTTATGTCTACATAAACACCTGCACATGAATGTTTATAGCAGCTTTATTCATAATTGCCAAAACTTTGAAGCAACCATGTTGGCTTTCAGCAGCTGAATGGATAAATAAACTGTGGTTCATCCAGACAATGTAATACTACTCAGCACTAAAAAGAAGTGAGCTATCAAGCCATGAAAAGACACAGAGGGCCTTAAATGCATATTACTAAGTGAAAGAAGCCAATTCAAAAGGCTATATACTGAATGATTCCAACTATAGGACATTCTGGAAAAGTCAAAACAATGGAGACAATAAAAGGATCAGTGGTGACAGGGGTTGCAGGAAGGAAAGGATAAACAAGGGGAGCACAGAGGACTTTTAGGGCAGTGGAAATACTATGTATGATATTATAATGTTGGGTACATGTCATTATACATTTGTCCAAACCTATAAAATGTACAACACCAAGAGTGAACCCGAAGGTATACTATGGACTTTGGGTAATTATGATATGTAAAATGTAAGCTTAGCCTCAGTAAAAAATGTACCATTCTGGTGAGTGATGTTGATGACAGGGGAGGCTATGCACGTGTGGGGGCAGGGGTATATGGCAAATCTCTATAGCTTCCTCTCAGTTTTGTTCTTAACCTAAAACTGCTCTAAAAAAAGTCAAAATAAAAAAGGAATAAATGGAAGGTGAAGTGAAAAGAGGATACCTGACAATTCTTTCAGGAAGCTTGGATATGCATATTTTATTTTCTTTCAAAGATAGACGGCATAAAAAGACATATTTGCTCAACTATGCACAACTGGTATGACAAAGTTGAAGTTAAAATCATGAAAACATAAGTATATTCCAAACTCTAGCATGTCCTCCAACCATAACCATGAAATTCAAGAGAATTTCCTCAGTGAAGAATTTAATAGCAGTAAGATTGGTAAAATTTAATGGAAACTTAGGTAGTACTTTGAAATTTCTTGGCATCAATCCATAACAATCAATTTTAGGCAGTTTTGGTTTAGGCAGTCACTTCTTTAATGAGAACTGGCTAATACAGAAGAATATATTGAATGCCTATTACCCGCATGCTATCTAAGCTTCTATACTTAACACAAAGAAATTCTTAAGTCTATCCTTGCTCTTGCATACTTTCAATTTCAAAACTGAAAAAGGTAAAAACTAAACTAAAAATAAAAGCAATTTATGGATAATTCCAGATGCATTGTGCATAGAGCAGATATAGGAATGCAAAAGAAAGATCACTTAGGGCAGCCATAGCCTAAAAGTCTTTAACCAGTAAAGGCAGTGTTTGACCCTGACCCCTCACTAGCAGGTCACCTTAGGCAATTTACTTAATTTCCCTATGCCTTCGTTTCCTCATCTTCAAACTAGAGATATAATAAGACCTAACACATTAAGCATTTAGTAAATGTTATCTATTATTCTTAGCCCCTATAGCAGTTAATGCGTGCATTTTGGTTTTAAATTTTATATTTTTAAATTTTGTATTTATTTCCTAGAAAGTTTTCTTCCCCTTATTTCTAAAAGGATCTCTACATAAAGTACAATGAGTAACATAACAAATAATGTCTTCAGCAGCCAATTAAAAAGACAAGCAATGCCTTTACCAGAACAACAAATCATGTAATCTGCACG